GGCATTGCTCAGAGGTACTGAATCATCAAAGGGACTATGGGCGGAAGTGTCCAGCAACCCCTAGAGCACATCTCAGCACGTGGGCATTTTCCCAGCCCCTCAGGCCACGGCCCTGCGAGTCATTCTTGACTCCTCCCACATCCACATCCATTCAGTCAGCAGACCCTGGCAGCCCCACCTTCGAAGTGTTTCCAGAACCTGCCCTTGCTCTGTCTTGGGTTCCTCCCTGGTCCTCTCCACCATTATATCCCATTTGGAGAGTCACACAGCCTTTTTGCTGTCTGTCTGCTCCCTGTTCCCACACGCAGCCAGAGGGACCCTGTGAACACCTGCGTCAGGGCACGTCCCCCTGCTCAGAGCCCTCCCATGGCTCCTTCTCATTTGGGAAAAGACAGAATTGTCACCATAATCCACAAGGCCCCATGTGATCTGCCTCTTGTCCTCTGGCCACCCCCAACCTGCCTTGCTGTTCCAACTCTGCAAACTCATTCCCAACCTAGGCCTTTGCACTCGCCCGCCCCGCCTCCCGGGGCCCTCTCCCCCTGGAACTTACGCGATTGCCTTCCTTTTGTCACTCAGGCCTTCGCCCAAGCGTCAGCTCCTCAGAGACGACTCCTGACAACCGTGGCCAAAGTCAAACCCCAGCACTCAGTATCTACATGCGCAAGCATGTGACACACCAGTCACTTCCCTCTTTCTCACATGGCGTGTGTTTATTCCCATATTGTCTGTCTCCCCCTTCACAAATGTCCAAGAGGGCAGGGCAGTTTGCCAGGTCCTCACCCGTGCAGCCCCTGGATTTAGAGGAGGGCTGGACTTTTATAGTAGGTGCTCAATAAAAATTCCTGGCATGAAGGTGCTTGGACGTGTGCAGTTCCCAGTGCCCGGTACTGCCTGAGTTTGCTCACAGGTTAATTTGCTCAATCCTCACCGTGGAGCCTCCTCGCCTGTGGAGCAGGTCGCACAGACCCTATTGCGCAAATGAAGAAACAGGATCAGAGAAGTTAAGCGACTGTCCCAGGGCTGCAGGGCTGGTAGCAGTGGAGCTGGGGATCAGGCTCCACTGATCCCCTCAACCTCTGAGGGAATCGGCCGTGCGACCCACTCTCCAGATGAGGAAACCGGGCGAGGGTAGGAATTGCCTGGGGTCGGTCTGTTTAGTCCATTTACATGGCTGCTGCTAGATTCTCATCTGGTCGGCCTCCCAGTGAGGCCTTAAGCTCGTCAGGTGTGCTTCCGTGGGGGCCCGCTCCCTCCCCCAATGCTGGTGCTCAGGTGCGGGAAGCAGGAGGGGAGGGCGGGGAGCTGTGCAGGGTGTGTGTCCCCATGAATAATTGAGGGTCTCAGGTCAGAGACCTGCAGCTGTTGCCCTGCCTTGGGCATGGAGGAGGCGGTGGCGACGTCACTTTCTCCCTTGCGGGGCCACCGGAGCAGGTTATAAGATGCTGCTCTGGCCTCACGGTGCTGAGGACCCTGGTCCAGACGCCACCATGCAGCACCGCAGGGCCGCCGCCATGCTGCCGTTGCTGCCACTGTCCCCGCTGCTGTTCCCGCTGCTGGGGGCAGGTGAGTGCCGGGGGAGGGGGTACCTCAGCAGCCAGCCTGGTGAGCAGGGACTCGGGTGACTGGGGGCTGGGATGGTGCACCCAGCAGGGGCGAGTTAGAGACTTCACAGGCAGAGCTTACAGGTGGGGACGGTGCACCTGAAAGGTGGGCTGCGGTGGGGACTGTGAGTACCGGGGCGCCCCTGGAGCTGGGATCAGCGCCGAGGACAGCGCATGGCGCACCCAAGCCCAGCTTTCACTTCCTTCCTCCACAGCCATCGCTGTTCCCTTGGCGCAGAGACCCTCCAAGGAGGAGGTGAGGAGTGTGAACCCCTGGCCCTGCGTCATCTCCCTGGAGCCATGGCCCTTCCTGCCCAGCTTCCTCCACGATCCTCGCCCCTCCCACCCTCCAACTGCCCAACTGCGCTCCTTACTCCCATCTGCCCTGCCCTCGACCTCACCTCTGACCCTTCGCCCCCAGCTGACCCGCTGCCTGGCAGAGGTGGTCACAGAAGTGCTGACGCTGGGCCAGGCCCCGCGAGGCCCCTGCATGGCTGTCCTCCACAAAGGTAAGGAGGGCCCGGGCCCCAGTTCCTCCGGGAGCCCCCACTGCACCTGGGATTCTGTGCAGGGCTGCCTGGAAAGGAGGTGTCGTCTCCTTTCGTCCCGGAGTCCCCTTGCCTGGGCTGGTGTGGCACTGCCCAGCGTCCAGCCTGGCCCCCAGCCCAGCCTTGGGGCTCCCTGCAGGTACAGGACAGGGGCAGAGACTCCCGGGCACCTGACCCACCTCTCCCAGTTCCGGACAGTGCCGCCACGGGAGGTCAAGTGGGCCCCAAAACTCCTCGAGGTGTTTCCCAGCTGGCTGCACAGAGAACAACCTTTCTCTCTCCACCAGAGATGTGTAAGACAGAGCCCTACGGCAGTGCGTCCACCAACGAGAAAGGCCTGCTGGTTGGGGATTTCAAGAAGCGGGAGGCTGGGAAGATGAGGTCCAGCCAGGAGGTGAGGGACGAGGAAGAGGAGACGGCCGAGGAGAGGACCCATGAGTCCGAGGTGCGGGAACAGGCCATCCACGAGCAGCTCCACAGCCGGCTCTGCCAGGGGGACGACCACGAGGAGGAGGAAAAGAAGAAGAAAGGGCCCATGGAGACCTTCGAGGGCCTGTGGAAGCAGCGCCTAGAAGGTGGAGGGCGCCCACAGAAGCAGGTGGCAGAGCAGGCCAGGGACGAGGAGACAGCCATGCAGGTGCTGGGCGGGGCCCGCAGCCTGTGGCAGGGGGCGGAGAGCGGGGGAAGAGAGGGGCATGAGACCTCGCTGCACCGCCACCACCTCCGCCAGCCAGAAACGGAGCCCACGCAGGAGAAGGAAGACGCTTCGGAAAGGGAGGTGAGTGGGGGGGCAGTGAGGAGGGGACGGACCAAGCGTCAGTGGAGTAACTATGAAACAGCTACCGGCGTTGGGCCATAGACAGCAAGATCCACCAGGAACGGGTCACAGTGACCAGGACGGACACAGGGACTAGGCAGCAACATGCAAAGCCTCTCCCTGACCAGCGACGCTTCTGTTCTGAGATTGCCGTAACCCAGATGGCCACATTAGCGCACAGAGGCATCTGAGTAAGCCACCATTGCTAGTTCCTGACGCGCAAACTGAGCACAAAAAAAATGGCTGCTGCGCCTGGTTCACTGGGCTGCAGATGGACACTATTGCTGGGTCACGGAAAGTAAGATGTATCCATGATTGGTGACAGTAACCAAAATGACCGTCACTTTACAAATGGGTCATGGCATCCAAGTTGGGCACCTCTGCTGGTCCTGTGTCTGCTGCTGTTGGCCTTGGCAGTCACCACAGACCTCGCAGCTGGTCGTGTTGGCCAACGTAACTCTTCCGGGGTTGTGGCAACCACTGTGGTCATCCTCACAGCCCACGATGAGCAGAAGGACTACTCTGGCTGCCATTGTGCGAGCTGACACGGATGAGCACTGAGGTAGCCTGCCTTTGAAGGTGGGCGCTGATCACCCCATTTCTGATCCCGCCAGGAGCAGGATGTGGAGCGGCTGGAGCACGTGAGAGAGGAGCTGAAGAAGGCCGCGGAGATGCTGGGGGCGGAGCTCAGGAGGGAGCGCTGACGCCGGGGCCTCCTCCCTCCAGACACCCTGTGGCTCAGGCCTGTTGACTCCCAAAGCCCCCACCTCGCCTCGCATCCTTCTCCACTCCCCAGCCGCAGGAGTGGGGAGAAGGGTGCGCCCTGGAACCAGGCCTGAGGGCCGGTCTGTGCTGGGTAGAAGGGCCGGGCTCAGGAAATAGCCCGCCCCCCAGACAACCCACCCCAACCCTTCCGAGTGAATAAAGCACAAAGAAAACCACCATGGCTCCTGTGTAGCACTGGATTCTGGAGGGATGAGGCCCGGGAATAAACTGGAGGACTGGGAAGGCAACCATCAGTCTAGTCACTGGGTGTCAGGACTGGGATTTTATTAAATTGGAAATTCTATTAACAATTAAGTCAGACGGGGTCGCCAGGGGGAGGTTTTGAGGCTGGGGTAGGAGGTAGCCGGTGTGGGCTCCGGCCACGGTGGACCACGATGTCGTCATATTCATCCTGGGGGCAGAGGGGGCCAGGTAGAGGGGCTCAGGCGGCTGCCACCCTGCCTGCTGCCCGAGTCCTCCCACCCACCCTAAGAACTGAGTCTTGCCTTGAAGCCCGAGTTCAACTTCCCCGCTCCTCGTTCTCCACCCACCATTTTCAGGGTGACCTGTTCTCCCACGGCTGCTGTTTGGGCTCCAGCCTGGTTGCTTCTCCAGTCCTTCAGCAGCCACAGCCCTTAGGGTGTCCCTCCTCCGCCCCTTCCCTCTGCCTTTACCCGACTTCCTCAGCCTCCACCATTCAACATGGTGCCTGCCCACGGTAGTGTCCCTGCTGTAGGTTCTCCAAAGAAACCCCCTCTCCGCTGGCTCAGGTTCCTGCCCACTGCTGCCAGTGTTCGAGTCACTGCTGCCCACAGCCTGAATTCATCTTCCCACAGCCTGAGTTCTCCAACTCTTGCTCCACGAAATCGCTCCGCACACTGCTGCCCACTCACTGCTGCCTATTTACCAGTCACCATGACGGAGGGCTCTACCTCTGCCTGAGTTCTCCCCCTACCGCCGCCTGCGTTTCTCATCACACAGCCTGAGCAACCCCCACCACCCCTGTCCAGGTCACTTGCACTGCTTGCTCTCCCGCCTTAGTTCTGTAATCGCAGCAGCCCGAGGTCAGGCTCAATGTGCTGCCTAATTTCTCTCCCCCTTGCCTGTCCATCTACCCTGACCCCCCAGCTGGACTGCCCAGTCTGTCCTCCTGACTCACGGCCTCGTCCCCGCTGTCGCTGTCACTACTGCTGCTGCAGGGGCCAGGCTTGTCGTCCTCGTCCTCGGGCTCAGGGGCTCCGTGTGCACGGAGGAGGCGAGCGAGGATAGGGTTGGGCCGGAGCGTGGCACTGCCCAGTGGGGTGCGGCCACCGTACATGCGGGCAGCGGGGTCGGCACCTGCCTTCAGAAGAAGCTCCAGCACATCGGGCGCTTGGGCCTCTACCGCCAAGTGCAGGGGGCTCCGGCCGCACGTGGGCTCCTGGAGGGTGCAGCAGAGCGGTCAGAGGAGACCCGGCCCACTCCGGGGACAACCAAGCCCTGCCACGCCGTCCCCCTAGGGCAGCTCACAGGTTTGTTGAGGTCAGCTCCAGCCTTCCGCAGTAGTCGGACCATCTCCGCGTCTTTGTGGATGACAGCCACATGGAGTGGGGTGTGGCCTGGGGAACAGTGACTAGTGTCAGACGATGGGGAGGCGGTAAGGGCCATGGGTCCCCGATGTCATGATCCTGGGAAGGGCTTCGTGGCCTGAGGATGACTGACTTTGGGGTTTGGCTCCTGAATTCCTGGACATGTCAAAGGGGCACCTGCGTCACAAATGCCTAAGTCTCAGGTGGACTGGAGCTTGCCGGCGGTGCCCATGGCTAGGTCGTGGGATGTCCAAGGCCTATGGCCGAAGAGCCTGGGGCTGAGGACAGGAGCCCTGGGTCTTGGGGCAAGGAAACCCGAGTCTCCAGTCTTACTTCACAAAGAACCTGGACCCCAAATTCCTGGGTCCTGAGTAGCCGAAGGGCCTGTGACCTTGGAGGTGGAATAAACCCTGAACACTGGGTCCTAGATGACCTTAGTCCCTCTGTGGAGGGGCCTGGTACCAGGTACTCGGACTTAGAGGTTGGGGAGCTGACATTCAGATGCGAGGCCCTGGGTGGACAGGGTCTTTTCTTCCCATGAGGCCTAGCTGAGGAGGGCTATCCCTGAACCCTGATGTCAGTCTCTGGGAACCTGGGCTGCCAGAGTCTCACAGAGGGTCTGGGCCTTGAGTTCCCTCATCCTGAGTGGGCTGAGACCTATGGTTGGGGGAGGGGTGCGTCCAAGGTGCGTTGTGCCTTCCGGCTGGGGAGACTGAGTCCAATAACTGGATCTAACCTAGTAGTTCTAGACCTGTGGGTTCCAAGTGGTCTGGGGCCTCCAAGTGGGGGTCCTGGGTCCCACATAGGCAACTCTCAACAGCCTGGGGCCTGAGTGGAAGTCTTTGGTCTCAGCGCCTGGGCCCCTGAAGCCTCGGTATTATTCCCCACGGGGCTGGGTAAAAAAAAGAGCTGAGCCCAGAGCCAGGTGCTCTCGCCCTGCCAGGGAGCCAGGCTGGTCTCCGTGCCTGTGGACCCTCACCCTCATAGTTTTCAGCCTCCAGCTGCAGCTTCCAGTCCTCCTCGTTCTCATCCTCTTCCTTCCCCAGGTCGGATTCGAGGTACAAGGCAACAGGGGTGTGGTCGGTGTCAGGAGCGTGGTCAGGGCCCTGAGCGAGGTAGGTATTGGGGGCTCCCCTAGGGCGCTGGGGGCGGGACTGGAGCAGCACACGAGCGCAGGTGTGTGCTCCCACACGGCAGGCCAGGTGCAGCGCCGTGTGGCCCCCACGCTCTGCCACGTGCAACCCAGCGCCTGCCGCATACAACTTCTCCACTGTGGATGCCTCCCCTAGGATGGCTGCCAGGTGTAGGGCTGTCTGCAGGAGCAGAGGGCAGGTTAGGGGCTGTACTGAGAATCCTGACCCCCAGGCCCTATACCCTCCCCCAGCTGCTCACCTGGCCGAGGTCGTTCTGCAGGTCTAGGTATTCTGTTCCAGCTGCAAAGCTGAGGAGGAAATCCAGGAAGGGCTCATGCTGATGAATCACAGCTAAGTGCAGTGCCCTGAGGACAAGGACAGGGGTCAGAAGGCAGAGTCAAGTACTCTGGCATTTATTCACTCAACAAACATGGCGTAACTACTGTGTGCTAGGCATTGCGACCACAGTTCTGGAACTAGTTGTCAGGAATCTGAGAGGATCAGGTCAGAGTTAATTCAGCAACTTCGTTTAATTAATGTTCTTAAGTAGGACTCCTACTTCCTCTCAAGATGAAGTAACATGGACCAGGTTTCCCTCCCATCTGAATTAACCAACAAATCAGACAAAACGGAGTATGTGAAACAACAGTTTCCAAGATACTGGACGTCATGCAATGACGACAGTGAGAGACAGGAAACCAATGAGGTGAGCCCTTCGACTGACTGCCACAGCTTACTGTCTTGAGAGTTTCCAAGCCACAGCGCAGAGAGGGGGAACCCAGGCAGGGCTCAGGAGGGGGAACCCAGGCAGGGCTCGGCACATTGCCTGAGGTGAGGAGGCGGAGCTGAGTATGGGGGTAGCCGGGTGGCTACTAGGACAGAGGACCTGAGAGGAGAGCTGCAAGGGGAGAGACCCTGGAGATCCACAGAGGGGCCTCTCAAGTATTTAGGAGACTACTGATCAGGGCATGGGTGTGAGGAAACTACCCCGGTCTGGGGTGGGAAAAAAAACATCCGAAAGGGTTAGAGAAATGTGTCCATCACTCACACAGGGCCAGGAATAGTGTGTGCTCCCACTAGCCAGACTAGGAAAAACCCACCACTCACAGGACATCAGGTAGAATACTCTGGAAGGTCTTACCTCAGTAGTGGTGAATAACGAGCTCTACATGGGACACTACTCAGGACCCAACTAACAAATCATAAAAGCAAAACCCAAAAGGATCAAACTACTAACAAGTAATTTAATTGCGTCCCAGAACCATACTCAAGAATATTTATAGGAACGTAACACTCGGCAGCCTAACAAAGTAAAATCCACAATGTCTGGCATCTAATCAAAGATTACCAGGCAGGCAAAGAAGGAGGGAAACATGATGGTAATGAGAATAATCAATCAACTGAATTAACTCAGAAATGACCCAGATGTTAAAATTAGCAAATAAGAATAACTGTATCTCATACATCCCAAACGTTAAGTAGAGACATGGATGATAAAAGAAAAAGAGTCCAGTTGAACTCAGAGGTAAAAACTTCAGCATCTGAAATGAAAAACACACCAGACAGGATTAACAACAGGTTAACATCACAGAAAAAAAGGTTAATGAATTTGAAGACTTAATGACAGAAACTCTCTAGAATGAAACATGAAGAGAATATTTAAAAATGCAAAGAGCATCAGTGAGCTTGGGACAATGTCCCCAAAAGAAGAGGGGCATAGAAAAAGCATCTAAAGAAATAATGCTGAAAACTCTACACCTATAGATCTAAGAGGCTGAATGACTGCCAAGAACAGGAACTATGAAGAAAACTACAGTAAGGCCCATCACAAAAGAATCTGTTCAAAACCAATGATAAAGACCAAATCTTAAAAGCAGCCAGAGAAAAAGATACTTTCAGTATGGAGGAGTAGAAATAAGGAGGACAGATTTTGCCTAGAGAATAATGCAAAACAAACCAACCAACCACACACACAATGGCGCGACATCTTAAACTACTCAGACAATGACTGTCAAACTAGAATTCCTTAACCTAACAAAAGTAGCTTTCAAAAATGAAGACATTAAACAGATATATGTTTTCAGATACACAGAAGCCAAAAGAACACCCCACCAGCAGACCAGCACCAACAAGGAACCTTAAAGGAAACCTGCAAACAAAAGGAAAATGATATCAAATTGAATTATGGATCTATACGAAGGGCCAGAGAAGGCTGAAAATAGTAACGCTATGGGTAAACATGATTTTTTTCTTATCATGTAAGTCTCTTTAGAAGATAATTTTTAAAAAGTAATTGACTGTTTAATCATAATAATAACAATGTTGTGGAGTTTACAGCACATGTGTAAGAAGCTTTGGCTGGGAGGGGACATAGAGAAATAAACTATTCTAAGGTTCTTTCACTCCATGAGAAGTGGAATAATATCACTTGAAGGTTAAAGTTGTACACTATAAACTCTAAAGCAGGAGTCAGCAAACACTTTCTGTCTAGGGCCAGATAAATATTTTAGGCTTTGGGGATCACGTGGTCTCTCTTTTACCTACTCAACTCTGCTGTGGTGTGGAAGCAGCCGCCGGCAATATGGAAACAAATGATCAGGGCTGTATTCCACAGAACTTTATTTATGGAGTCTGAAATTGGAATCTCATATAATTTTCACTGACCACAAAAGTCGTCTTTTTTTTCCCAACCATTTAAAAGTCTGAAAAACGTTCTTAGCTCACAGCTGCACAAAAGCAGGTGGCTGGCTGGGTTCTGCCTGAAGGCCAGAGTTTGCCTTGCCCGTCTTTCAGAGCAACCACTGAAGTAAAGAAACAAAAAGTTAAAGCAATTAAGCCAACAAAAGAAATGGGACAAAATGTACTGGTTCCAGAAGACGGCAGAAAAAGAGAAGGGAAACAAAGAAGAGATAAGTAGAAAACCAATAACAAGATGATAAACCTAAACATAACCATGTCAATAATTAAATGCAAATTGTCTAAACACTCTAATTAAAACGCAGAAATTGTCAGGTTGGCTAAAAAAGCAAAACCCAACTATGTGCCTACAAGAAACACTCTTGAAACATAAATATTAAAAAATAGGTTCAAAATAAAGGGTGGAATAAGCTTTATCCTGTGACCACCAGTCAGTCAAAGGAAAACGGGAGGGAGTATTTTAATATCAAAGTAGATTTCAGAGCAAGGAATACTACCAGGGATAAGAGAGCTCGTTTCATAATGACAGAGAGGTCAATGACACAAGAGGACATGAAGGAAAACCTGACAGAACTACAAGGAGAAACAGACAAATCCACAATTATTATTGGAGATTTCAATACCTCTCTCTCAGTAATTGATAGAACAAGTAGACAGAAATCATGAGGAAGGATATAGTGGACCAAAACAACACTATAAACCAATACAACCTCTAATTGACTACACCGAACAACAGCAGAATCCATACTCTTTTCAAGTGCACACAAAATATTCTGGATCATGAAACAAGTCTAAAAAATGTAAAAGGATTCAACTCTTACAAAGTATGTTCTCGGTCCACAATGGAATTAAATTAAAAAGCAACAAAAGAATGTTTCCAAATATCTGGAAACTAAATAACAAACTTCTAAATAATCCACCAGCCAAAGAAGAAATCGTAAGAGATAGTATAAAGTATCTTAAACTGAATGAAAATAACAACACATCAAAATTTGTGAGATACTGCTAAAGCAGTTCTTGGTGAAATTTATAGCACACAACCTATAAGAGAAGAAAAGTCACAAATCAGTGTCCTACCTCAACTTCCACCTTAAGAATCTAGAAAAAGAATTAAACCCAAAGTAAGCTGAAGCAAGAAAATAATGGAAATGAGAACAGAGATCAATAGAATAGAAAGTGGTTGCGGAGGGAGGGGAGGGAATTAATGAAGTAAAGTGGGTTCTTTGAGACCAATGTTTATTGAGTGCCATCTATGGGTCAGGCGCTGTTGAGTCACAGGGGATACAGCAGAAAACACAACACACAAAAATCCCAGGTACAATCCCTCACTTAGGGCTTTCCAAAGTTGTTCTTTCTCCCTGACTGCCCTCCCCAATCTTCTTGTCTCATTTTTCTGCTTGCTTTTTCTCCACAGAACTTACTACCTTATGGCATACCATTTGTTTTCTTTTATATATATATATATTTTTTCATTTTTCTGTCTTTGTTTCTTCCTGTCTTTCTTTTCTCTTTTCTTTCTTTGTCTTTCTGTCTCTTTTTCTTTCGTTCGTTCTTTATTTCTCTCTTCCCTCTTTTCTCTCTCTCTTTTTTCCTTCCTTTCTTTTTTCCCCTCCCTTCCTTTCTGTCTTTGTTGGTCTTTCTGTCTATATACTCCCTCCTCTGAATGTACACTCCATAGGCCATAGATTTGTTTTCTTCACTGCTTCATCACCAGCATCCAAAACAGCCAGTGACGGTGGTAGTGTTTCGATAAGTATTTGTTTAACAGATGAATCCCTGCTTATCATGGAATTTACATTTTCTCTTTGAATGTAAGATGCGAAGATCAGTGTACAGAAGGTGGGATCTTAGAGTCAAAGACCAAGTATTATTTCGGAAATCAAGATCTAACTCTCATAAATAAGGAGCTAAGGATCAAAGACCATATTTGCGGAGGTTAGAGGTCAGAAGGAAAGGGCTTGAGCTACAATTCTAATAAAGGTCTCAGGACTGGGATCAGGAATATCAAATCGAGTTTGAAGATCAATGGATAGGGATGTGGAACTCTGAGAATCAGAGTTCAAGAAAGGAGGTCAGAAATTATTGGGTTAGGAAAAAAGTTGGATAGTAAATTGGTTTTATTAAAGGTTAAGTCTTGCGCGTTAGAGGTCAAGAAGTCAAACATCGGAAGTCAGATTCAGGAGAGGTTGGGAATTCGGGATCAGAGAATAACAGAGAATCAAATGTCGTATCCTAGGGCCCGGTTTGGCAGCCCAAGGTTCACTCACGTGTCCCCATCCTCAGTGACGTAGCCGAAGACGAGGGGCGCCCACGACAACCCCGGGCCCAGCTCCGCTCCCAATCCCGGTCCTCCGGGGGCCGCTGCATCCGGACCCAGAGAGCCCAGGCCGCTGTCGCACCACTCATCGGCATCCGCAGCTTTCCCCAAGCACGCAACCCCGGCCATAGCCCCCGAAGCCTCAGGGGCCCCCGCGGCCGCCCGCCTTTTGCTGGGCTCTGCCTTGAGCTCTGGCGCTTCCGCCCTGGGGGAATTCCCCAATACGCCCCCTGACTCATCCAATCAGAGTGGGATAAATCGCTCACTCTCCGCCCCCTATCACACCGTGACCAATCATAGTATTCAGATGGGCTTCAGCTCTCTGCCCGTTCTCACATTTTCCGGGCGCCCTTTACCAACATGGCTTCCAACGCTGGGCATTTCGGGATTCGTAGTCCGGCTCTCCCCTGCTTTCCTTACCTAAAAGGGGCCCGCGCGGGGGTGTGCGAAAGCGTGTGTGCGGCCGCAAAGACTGCTGGGAGTTGTAGTTCTCTGCCTATCTCTGCCCCCTCCTGTTTCCGGTGCCGTCACGGGACAGAGCCGTCGGTGACAGCCCCGTCGGTGACAGCCCTGAGGGCCCCCGCCCCGCGCCCATGGCCGAGCCGGACCGTGAGTCGGGGCCTCGGTGGGAGGATCGGGCCGCGCCGGGGCCTGGCTGAGGGCTGCAGGCCCCGGGGCCCGAGGGCGGGTGTGGTGAGTCCGGACGTAGGCGCTGCATGGGGAAGAGTGAGGTTCGGGGGGCCGTTGCTAAGTGACCCGTATTGCTAGGTTTGTGGGTTTCTGGGTCGCGAGGTTTTAAGGGTTCGTTTGCTATGTCTCCCGAGTTACTAATGATCGCGTGTTTCTCGAACCTGGGTTGCCAAGGACCCCCGTTGCTAAGGACTTAGATTGCCGCGGTCCCGGTTGCTAAGGGTATACCTGGTTGTTAGGGGGAACTGTTGGATGCTAGGGGACCCCTGGTGTCCCTGCTTATCTCGTCCCTCTAGTTTCTGTGTCTCTCCTAAACATACCATGCCCACCGCATCTCCTCTCCAACACCCACCTCCTGTCCGAGTATCTCTTTTCTCTTCCTTTCCAAACTTACCTCTGCTTGTAAATATTACCCTTCAGTACACACTCACAATGTCCTTCCTAACTCCTCCTAAGGCTTCCTCAATGCCCTGTATCTTTTCTCTTTCTCCTAAACCTTCCCTTCCCCATCCCCTTTGTCCCTCACCGACCACCTCTCTTCCCAGCACTCTCCAGTCTTCTCTTCCCCATCCCTCCCCTCTCTTTACTCTATTTTTGCCACAACCCCTACCCTGTTGTAACTAGGTTGGTGCGTCTTCTTACCCCCCCACCCCATGCTTTGAAGCCCTTCATAACCCCTTAACCATTCCCCCCACTGTAACCACATCTGCTCCCCCTCCTCCCCCAGCCTCTGACCCTCTGGAGACCCAGGCAGGGAAGGTGCAGGAGGCTCAGGTGAGATGGGGGAAGGGTGGAGGGAAGGAGAGAGTGGACTGGTTCCCACACCCCACTCCCCAGGGGGGAGGGGACAGAGGGAAGAGTTAACCCAGGGCCCTTGGCTCACTGCCCCAGTCCTTCACCCCACCTCCCAGTTCAGCCTCCTGGGGAATGGTGGATTCTGGGACTGTCAGAGAAGGGTGTGCAGCCTCAACCCTAGGCCTGCCCTCCCGAACTTTCCTCTCTCATTGCCCCCCACCCCACCCCGCAATCCCTTCTGAACCTCCTTTATGCTGGTCCCGGAAGAGACAGGCATCCGATTTGGTCCTTGAACTTACGGATTTCATAGACAGGTGACTAGAAAATGACCCTACAGGGTGATTATGAAAGTAGCCCAGGGCACTGTGAGAGCCCAACGATTTTAGCCAGTACATCTCCTGGAGGAATCCAGACTGGTCTAAGAGTCAGATTGAGGTACAGACACATTGTAGTATGTGCTGAGTAACTTAGAATTTTCTTAGGCACGGTGAGAAATGGTGTCCCATGCGGAGGGTACAGCTAGTGCAAAGGCCTGGGAGCATGGAAGAGCATGATGTGTTCAGTAGGCCGGGGGTGGTCAGCTGATTACATGCATGGTTAGCATTTATTGAGTACTTACTTCAGCTGGCCGCTCTGCTTAGTGCTTTGTGGGCCACATCTCATTTCATCTTCCTAGCATCCCTGCTGAGGTCAAGGCCTACTGCGGTCATTTTACAGATGAGGAATTTGAGGCAGAGTTGTTAAGCATACTGTCCTCTGTCCCTCGGCTAGAAGAGCGGGAAGGGTTTGCAACCCATAGCACCCGGCACACTGCCTTCCAGATATTTCGAGGAGGGGTAGACAGGCTGCCTTCCAGAGTCCTGAAGGTCCCCGCAGCACTTCCAGCTCCCGCTTAGGCCAAGTTGCTCCCACGGGCTAGTCAGGGCCTTCAAGTCTTTCCACAGAGCTTCACTGTCTGTGGCCTGAAAGAACGCCGCTCCCCACGCCCCCGCCCCCAACACACAGCCACGAGAGCGCTGTTCCTATGTAGGTAATGCAGAAGCTGTGATTACAGCACCTCACAGGTGCAGGGCAGAGGGTACGAGAGCTTTCTCTCAGGACCAGGCTTCTCCCTCGCCCGTCTTGCAAAGCAGGACCACTGTCAGAGAAAAAGAGTTAACGTTAAAAAGGATCCTTGGTTCCAGAGAGATTCGAGGATGTAAATTGCAGCATTGTCCATAATGGGACAAAACTGGACACAACCCAAGTGGCTGTCAATAGATAAGTTAAATGAACTATGAGGCCTCCTTACAACATAACACTGTGCAGCTTCTTAAACGAACGAGGTGGGTCTATAATATCGTGTTCTGTGGAAGATGCAAGATGCAACATTGTACTATGGCATGAGCCATTTCTAGAAAAATAATGGATTTTATATGCAGAGAAAAACTGGATTAATTACCATTGTAGTGTTAATAATAATGGTTATCTTGACAGGGCTTAGGGGAGGGATTACGAAGCAGGTGCCCCAAGTTATACATTGTCTAACAGACTTTTTGCAAAGCTTAGGCAATCTAAAATGCAATACAAATTTTTAAATACATTTGGAAGGGAGGTTCCTATTCAAAAAGACTTGAAACAAGATAGTGAGTGATGGGGAAGAGGGATTGTTGGAAGGGTTTAAAGCAGGATAGTGAGTTGGTCAGAACTGTGTTTTTACGAGATCTGTTGCAGGGCCCAGCCCTGGCCTAGCACACAGCAGCTATTCATTCGTTCAGTGGTGGATAGTTCTGGAGCTCCTGCCAGGTGCCAGACCCTATTCTGGGTGCTGAACACAGAAAACCCCTGTCTTGGTGGAGCTGACCTCATGTGGACCCTATAGATGTTCATGATTGATGATTAGACTGGAGATGCCAAAAGGAAGGGCCTGTGAAGTGGAGGGGCATAGGCGGGCCTGACAGGCCACCACGTGGAGGACAGTGGAGTAGTTGGGAGGTGGAGGCTGAGGCTGATAGCCCCTGGGGAAGAGGACAGGCTGGACCAAGTGGAGCCCTGGGGAGGGGTCAAATCATGGTGGGAGGACAGGGGAGGGAGGAGGGACGCGTCTGGCAGACTGGGAGATGGCGGCCACACTGAGAAGGGATGGGGAGCAGGATGGGGGAGATGCTGAGGCCAGGTTGGGACACAGTGGGAGTGAGGGGCCTGGGGTCCCTTAGGGGAGAGCATCTAGGAGGTCATGGGAATCCTGGGTCTGGGGCCAGAGAGGTGGCATCATCAGCGACTGGGCCAAGGCCATTGGCATGGATGAGGCAGCTAGCCCAGGGAAGGTGAGGAGGGAGAGCAGGGAGGGCTCTGGACAGAGTCCCCAGACCTGCAGTTTGGGAGCCTGGCCAATGGGAGGAGTTGAGGTCGGAAGGCAGTATCTGGGGGTTCCAGCTACCGGGCGAGGACCTGGGTGTCTTCATTGGCGTTGTTTCATCATTACGCAGTGACTTTAGTGAGGAGGGCTGCAGGGGCGCCAGGAAGGGGTGGCAGGTCCATGCTACAGGGGACAAGAAGAGATACAAGTGGAGGATGTGGACATGGCATGTGAAATGGCAGTAGCCAGCACTCCCTGAGCACTTCCCCCTCTAGGTGCTGTTCGGAGCACCTCGCAGAGTTTAACTCATTTCATCTCTCAGTAGCCCCCTGAGGGGTGCCCTCTGAGCTGGTCTCCAGGAGGAGGAGCACCCAGGCTCAGAAAAGCAGAGTCACTCACACGAGATTATGCTCCTTGGGAAGAGCAGGCCAGGTCCCTGTAGGCAGCCTGTCCAGAGCCCACCACCCACCAGCCCCCAGAGCTGTCCCTCCACTGTCCTTCACTTCCTCTGCCCCACCTCCCATCTAGAGCCTTTTTCCAAAACTGCGGTGTCACCCCCACCCCCCACTCCCTAACCCTTCTTGGGCCTGGCCACCCCACCCCCACCCCTTCCAGGACTCAGATTCAGACACTGAGGGAGGAGCGGCTGGCGGAGAAGCAGAGAGTAAGTATCTTCCTCGAGAGTCTGATCCTGGGAGCGTTGAGCGGGGAGGGTGGTTTAGGGCCCGGGTCTGGGTGATACCTCTCACCTCCAGGGGTGACATTCAAGACAGGGAATAATGGGTTCAGTGCTAGTGCCTAGACAGGGGGTCCCTGGACTGGGGCAGAGGCCCTCAGGGCCTCCCCTGCTGAATGCCCGCCCAGCAGCTGCTTTCCTTTTGGCCAGTGGACTTTCTGCGGAATTTCTTCTCCCAAACGCTGGGCCTGGGCACCCAGAAGGAGCGTCTGCTGGACGACCTAACCCTGGAAGGGGTCGCCCGCTTCATGCTGAGTGAGCGCTGTAAGTCATCCCTGCATCGGGCCACTTTCCTCCTCCGGGCCCCAAGTGACTTCTCAGTCCCAGCCACTTGAACCATTCACACTTTTTGTCTGCAAGTAACAGGAAACCCAACTCAAACTGGTTTATGCCAGAAAAGGGATGTGTTGCCCCTTTAACTAAAATCCAGCATAAGCATAGCTGGATCCAGGGGCTTCCATGTTGTCAAGAATGTTAACGCCCCCCTGGCTCTGCTTTCCTCTGTGTTGGGAGAAAGGTAGCTCCTGGCAGCTCCGCATGCAAATTCCACCAGCCTAGCAGCTCTCACTGAAGGGAGCATCTTTCTCCCAGTGGTTCAAGCCCAGGAGCAGAGACTGGCTCCAGCTGGCCCAGGCTGGGTCACTCTTTGACCCCAAACCAATCACCATGTCTGATTGGCCAGACTTGGGTCACATCTCCATTGCAGATTAATTCTGTGCTCTGATTGGCCAGGCCTGTTTCATAGCATTTGCCTCATAGAGTTAGTAGGGGTTTAAAAAGTTAATAGAGATATAAATGCCTGGGACAGGACCTGGAACATCACAAGGGCTGTGCAAGTGTTCCCTGTGATTATTACAGGAAGCCTCTCACAAGGGTGATGTGTAGGCGCCCCTTTACTAGGTCACTGTGTAATTTATATTTCCTGCCTCGAGTTGAGGTCACCAGAGTCTGAGAAACCAAAGCCCTTGGCAGTCCTCAGCTACAACAATGGCCCCTCTGAGTGTCCTGAACAGCCCTTTGTTGAGGACTTCTTCTCCGCTTTCCCTGTCCTCCTCAAGCAGCCAGAC